AAATACATTTATTTTTATTGTTAGTGGTCTACTTTGATTAAGCCCATCCCCCTTTACAAGATAAAAACGAATGCCGTCAAACTTACATTAAATCTAGAGTTACGTCAGCTCTTCTCAGAACCTCCACTCCACCTCTAGTGAAGTCATCATCATTGGTGACATTTTTCCAAACCAATGCTTCTCATTGATATGATTGGAGCTAAGCCAATGAAACTGCACTCCACCAATCCAATGCTTTTCACATGCTTTACCATGAGAAGAATTAACAGTGATCGAGATAATTTTGACTTTCAAATGACTCAGTAAGTAGTTGTCTCTAGTGCCTTCCAGACTGACAACCACTAGAAGGGTGTAATATTACAAATGTAAACATTACTGTTTCTCAGAAATAGAATTATTTACATCTTATAGACTGTAAGCTCGTTTGAGCAGGGCCCTCGTCAACCTATCGTTTCTGTAAGTTTTCTTATAATTGTCCTATATATAGTTAATTCCACCTCTAATAATATTGTAAAGCGCTACGGAATCTGTTGGCACTATATAAATGGCAATAATAATAATAATAATTTGTAAGATAAATGGAGCATCATTTATGCCCATGAACCACTACATACATTGTGGTTTTGGTAATTAGAATGTCCCTTTAATGTTATGCTTGTCTGAACAGCAATCGATACACATAAATGCTGTTTAATTACATGTTTGTGTGCTAGCTGATGATCCCATGATTGAAACAAAAAGTGTTTAGTGTTGAAGGGTTAAAAATGTATGACCCAGAATACTATTTTTCCTGTTTACCACACTTTGCACACTTGCTAAAACAAATCATTAGACCACTTTTGTATTGTTGTTAGTAATATATTCCTAGATCAGTATTTGCATCTTTAATTAGTTTTGTTGTATTTTAAAACTCAATCTAATTAAATGCCATTATATAAACTAATGGAGAACTTTGAACTATTTCTTTGCAGGAACACACTGTCAAATGCATCCACATAAAACTCTTAAAATATCTGTTCATCCAACAAAAAAGTAAAATGCAAGCAGAGACATGCACTTGAACTTTGCCCCATTACTTGAGTGTATCATAATTATATATCCTTATTTAAGCTAGAAAAATATTCACATTTCTTTTTATGCATTGTTCTATAATGATCTTTTCTATGACCTTGTCACCACTGTTCAAATGTGTTTAATGCAGGAGAATCAGCAAAATACTTAAAGAAACACCATAGTCTTAGGAATACCAATATGTATTCCTAACGCTATAGTCTTACTATACCTATTTTGGCTTCCCACACACACCTTTGCTGATATGAATGGTAAGTTTTATTTTCTTTCAAGCCCACATCACTAATGTCTCTGTCCTGACGCTCCATATCCTTGGCTTGGATTGGCTGATATCATCCTCTATACATGATATCCACCAATCCAATACTTCGCTGTGCCAATCGTTTGCTCCCTAAAAAAGTGAATTGATCTATAATTGATTTGAACTTGATTATAACAGAAGATGGACCTATAGTGGCCAGTGGAGGACAGCCAGTAAAGGTATCTTAGCCCTGCAATGTAAACATTGCAATTTCTAAAAAAAACTGCAATGTTTTACATTGCGGGGTTAAGACTACAGAGCCACTGCAGACAGACCATTTCATTGAGATGTAGTGGTCTGAGTGAATTTAGTGGTCCTTTAAAGGGACACCATAGGCACTGTATCTGCTTCATCTCATTAAACTGGTTATAGTGTCTGGAGTCCCCTGGTACCACCATTTCTTTTAACATTAAACAGTTTTTAATGTTTTAAGGTTTTAATGCTAAACAAGAGTCCTCGGCAGTCCATCCCCTCTGTGCTGCTTTGGCTAATAAGGAAGTATTACCCTGAGCAGCAATGGGCAGCTGTGATTGGCTGAGAGTGTCAGCTGACTGCTTTTAGCCTGTCAGAGCTCCAACTGACAGTCTGTTAATGGTTTAACCCCTGAAGGTAAGCCAAAGTCTTCTGTAGAGCGCCAGTCAGGACATCCTCTACCACATCTGTATGCTTGAAACAGAAAGCCTTGGACTCTCAGCCTAGCAGCAACTCCCCATTCACAAAATGGCTTGCGAAAAGTACATTCTCAACCTATCAGTTCACATCCTGTTTCAACTCTCAGACTCAAACAGATGTGGAGGGGAAAGAACTGACCAGTGCCAGACAGAAGTCTTTGGGGTTAAACTGTTTGTCAATTTTTCAATCCCTGAAGTTAAAGTGGCATCAAGAACCTCCTGGAACCATAACAACCGCATTCCAATTAAGTTGTTATGGTGACTGTAGTGTTCCTTTAAAGCAGCTCTATCACTCCAGCCAAGGGATCTCTTGATTAAGCTCTGCAGATTTCCCAACATCTTCTGGTCTTGGTTCAGCCTATCATTTTTGAAGTTCTCCAGGTCCTCCCGGGCATTTTTTTCTTCATCTTAGAATCTATAAGAGATTTTAAGTTGAAACAGAAATAATTTCTTCTGCCTTTTCCTTGGCGTGTATGTGAAATTATGTGCATGCCCAAGAGATCACGCATCTTCCATTGAACTCTGTATTGACAATGGTGATTACGTGAAGGTCAAGAATGAGGATCAGTGTAAGCTCATTTGAGCAGGGTCCTCTACAACCTATCGTGCCTGTAACTTTTCTTGTCATAGTCCTATTTATGGTTAAATCCCCCTCTCATATTGTAAAATGCTACGGAATCTGTTGGTGCTATATAAATGGCAAAATAATAATAATAATAATAATAATAATAATGTATATACAACCTTTAACAAGCTGTTCAACAAGGAAAACCATTACTAGATACATACGCCTTTCATCTTTATTCCTTAATAATTTAGTTATTTTATGCAAATATTCATTTTCAAGGGAAATATATTTCCCTTCAACAAGGCTCTCTTACCCTCAAACGATGTTCAAGCTAGAAAATGCAAAATATCTTTCCTTTGAATTAAAATTCAATATATGTGCCCACAGTCTTTTTTTCAATTTCCATTCAATTTTTTTTTGTCCACTTATAAAATACAGCAATGTGTATTAGACATAACCTAATTTCAGAATTAAATAAAATAAATGCTTTCTCCATTGTCACCAGAGGAAAAATGTCTTAGATCGACAAAAATGGTATAGACGCATGCCTTAAAACATTACTTTTGTTACTAGTTATAATAATGTCACTAACCAATTTTCTGCTTCTTTAAGCAATTTCGCTTTGTGATCTTGTTTCCCAGATTTTCTTAAGTAAGCTAATTTGACATAATTTTCTTTATTTTCTCATGGAGTCAAACAGGACAGCTAACTGCAAAAGCCATATTGTGTAATTACCTATGTTCCGTATCTGGCTTTGTCACATCTCACATAAGCTATAAGTCATTTTCTCATTAAGTATTAAAATCCCATTGAAGGTCAGTCTACTCTGAGAATCCGTCTTTTTGTAGGATTAGGACTCCATGCATTACACAGCTCTGCTCTTTAGAGATATTTGGGAGGATTTGTGAGTGTGTGTATTCGAAATATGGGATCGTCCCTCCTCCGACAATTCTGTTTCACTTGGGCTTTCTGTTAGAAATGATAAATGGGAAATTGAGCAATTGAAGGTATAGAGGTTAATTAGTCTCTGGTTTATTATAAAATATAGACAAAAGTCTCAGTTTTTTGCATTGTAAAATCCAGCAATAATATTTTGGTTTTCCATAATTTTCAATTAGTTTCTGTCTTACTCTCGCTGTCTTTTTTGTGGAGTGAGGATGAATTATAGGTCAAATAATGTTTCATTTTACGAATGCACAATATTTCATAATATATTAGATTTTCACGATTGAATTTTTTATGGCTTCTAGTCGCCATGTTGTAACTGGAATCTACTCAGCCCGTGGGTAAGCTACGCTACAGTGTATTAATAAATGGCCTGAAACGAAATTACACATTTTGCACAAAGTAACAGCACATTAAGCATTCATATTTAAATATCCCAGTTTCCAGTTGTAATAGTTGCTTCATTACCCACAGACAAGAAAATTAGTTATCTATATCAAAATAGGATTTTGAGATTTTTTTTTATAGTTGGTGCAAATTACTAAATTTTTCTCCCTTCCTCACATTTTCCCATGGCAAAAGGGCAAAATCATCCCATACTCCAAAAATGGCTTTTTACAAAGACATACATTAGCACAAGAAGATTCATTTAACATTTAAATTAGGAAATGAGAGCAATATGATGTTTAATCACAATGTGGTCTTTTACATCAACTCATAGAAAGTAAATAAAACAATAAACTCTAATGCTTATCTCACCGGGCTTGAAATAAAATTAAAGGTTATCTGACAACATTTATCCTCAGGTGTTACTTTTTCTTGTAGTCAGATGACTGCACTTACTTTAGTCACATGACCTAATTTTTACAAATGTTTTGGCAGAATTTACTTGCAGCACATGTATATTTATTTATTTATTTAATTCTTTATTTTTGTATGCATAGTAAGACAGACATGCTTATAAAGAGATTTTAGGTCGAGATTATACAAGAACAAACATCATAGGTATAGCATAAAACATCATATGATAATTAAGCACATTTTATAATAAATTGGTGAGGTGAAACATCATGCTAAGCTTACATGACTATAGGGGTAATTCACTGCTCCTCCATTGAGCATAGATTGTAGTATAAAAGACCAACAGACTAAAAGAATAAAGCTTTGTGGGTCAAGCTAGACTAGCATGTCTTGTTAAATACAAGAACAGAGCTTAAACCTAAGGAAAGCCCTCCAGGCATCAAAACGATAAATCATACATAAGATTAAAAGAAAAAAAAACAGTGCTAAATACCAGATAGATAAAACTGCGGATGATTTAATACCACTGGGCAACGAGATGTACTATTGCAGCTGCTTTAGTATGGCACAAGGGCATGTGAAGCATAGTGCATCATGTAACTAATACCAAAAAACAGCGATGCTGCAAGAAAGGTCCGATGCCTTAGGGTGGCGAGTTCCTGCTTCCAGCTCCGACATCTGTTCCAAGGGGGGTCTTCTCTCCTGGCCCCAAATGGTAGTTTGGAGCAGCTTTCCCCATGGCGCCATCCACGTACTGTTCTTGCCGCTTTTCGGTCTTGTGTACCCAGTGCATTAGATAGTATAGCTTGGGAGCAGGTGGGCCATGCCAAGGATGCAGAGGCAGGATCTGCAGCGGGCGGGTGGAGTTGTTGCCATGATAAGGGCCCAAGTGGTGGGGGAGAGCTGACCCCTGCAAAGACTTCACATGTCTCTCCCTCCTCAACCCCTTGCCTGAGGCATGTTGGACATGCCTGTGAAAGCCATATTGATGAGCATGGCGTCTCTTTTGGACCACGGCTTGTTCTAGAGGAGTGGAGATAATTCTCAGATTTTGTAGCTTTGTCCAAAATTGTGCACAGACTTGATTGAAGGCTGAATGACCCCGTGAAGTAGCCATTTCATGGGGTTATTCAGTTGCAAAAAAATTTCTGTGGCCACAGGCCTCTGGAAGGCGGCCATTTTAAAGATCAGGCCTCAACACTCTGGGTTACATGTTAGCTGGGAGCCATGATAGTATCCACCTTGGCACACCAATGGGGACCGAGATAACCCCCACCAGTCCAAAGGGGGGAGGACAGGACTCAAGAGTAGTAGGCTGTGGGTTGAGGCCGAGGAATGACTGCTTGCCTGTCCCTGACTGAAGCACAGGCCACAGGTGGAGGGAGCACAGGATATGGCCTCCGGCAATCCGGTGCCCAATAAGCAGCAGGGTATTCCCCAAGATTGTAGGCAAGATTCAGCCAACAAAAGAGCGATAAAGTCCACATTTTGAGCCATATGGGTAGATTTCCAGGAGGAGCTTAAGCACCATGCGACCACCTTGATCTGCTGTCTGGCCCACCCCCTATTTATTGTTTTTTGTCTAGTACTTTGTATAAATTATTAAGGCTTGACGCTGAAACATTGTATATCATTTTATTCTTCAGACCCTTCCTTTTTGCATTACTCTGTGAACCCTTTGGAATTTGATTTAGGAACATTATAGTGTTAGAAACATGTATTCCTTATACTGTTTTGTTCCCCTACCTACATAGATGTCCATCCACCCTTGAGTTTGAAAGGTAAGTTTTACTTTCTTTACATTTTGTGGCACACTGGTCTCTGCACCAACTCTGGCTGAGACCATCAGTTTCGATAATCTCAGCCAATTCTGCACCAATCAGATGTTCTCAACGAGAGCCATTTGAGCTATAACCGAGTAGCGCTTCTAGTGGCTATCTTCCTCACAGTCACTAAAGACATGTTAAACCGGTAATAAAAACATTGCCATTCCTGCAAAACAGACAGGAACATGGTTTAGATTCCTATATTATTATTATTATTATTATTGCCATTTACATAGCGCCTATAGAGTCCCTTTAAGGACTATGCTTACTTTAATTATCAGCTATTGTAGCTAATATATTGCACAAACGCCTAGAAAGTTTAATCAATGAAATATTGCCTACTTTCTATCTTCTTTCCTTATCTATTCTATTCTAACTCCCTAGTTATGAACATTTACCTCACTAGCCAAACCTTGTTTAAAATCAATCTGCACCCAGGACTTCCATATCTCCCAGTCATTCTTCTTTGTCCCCATCCATGTAACTTTAACCGATATAAACCAAGCTATACCTATTACTCCTTGGTCCAGTCCCCCTTCCAACTTATGTCAATTCCTCCGTGCTGCTTCCCCTTAGATATATACACACCAATTTCTTCCTCTACCAAGTTATTCAATGGCTCTATTGTGGACTGAAATGTTTCAATGTCTGTTCATGTCTAATAAAGCTGCTTGAATTGATGGAGTGTCTGGACCACCTTTTTCTTCTGACTACTTTATTGCTTGATAATTAAACCCCCACCATGGTTAGTAGGAAATGTCAAAAGCAGTATTATTTCTCCAATGTTCTGTTTCTTAAAAAGAAAGACAGCATCAATTTTATCCTCAGTTACATTCTCAAAAAATATATAACGTTTCCCATCCCCCAGAAACCATTCTCAGGTATCTTATGTAAACTTATTTGATTCAAATATGGCTAAAGTGATGCAGAGATGCAATAAAACTACTATTACTGTGATTTTATGATACAGTATTCACTTTCTTTAAGGTATAAACATCTCTGCTATTTTGATAGATACTCATTGTCAGTAGAATACTCTCTTCTTCAATTTTCATGTGCATTTTAATAAACACCATCGGGATTTCCGTTCATCTCAATTTGCCACCAACTTAATTTATTCAGCTTGCACATTTTATCTTGTTTCTAGCTTTGGTGCTGCTGACTTTGATTTATATCGACTTGGTCTAGTTTACTTTAAAAACTAGAATACAACATCAACATTTATATTTTAAGCAGATAATGACATTTTCTGCACTAAAATCAGAGTGTGAATGTTATCTACAGATTATTAAACTCACAAAGCCATCAATATTCTTAGTTCACATTGAAAAATGACAAAATGCATCTAATTTGTTTGAGAATAAAAAATAGAAAACCATTTTAAATAAATAGTTATTATTACCCTATTTTTCAGCATAATTATTGCCAATGGACCGATCTTTTATGTCAAAGCAATTTATTACATTCTTTAATTGTTTAATAAGCATATCCGTATCATTATGACTTGCTGAGTAAGTGTATTTTATGGTTTATATCATATTCTTCACCGCTCTTAAGAGCAGCAGTTTAAGCACTTTTTGACATTAAGTTAATATATTATCGTTATTATTTGTTTACTAAAATATATATTTATTATTATTTTCCACCCTGCTTTTTAATCTTTTTTTGGCTAATAGACCAAAGCTAAATGTATTTGGATTTTCATACACCCCTCAAATTCGTGCTGCTCTAAGGTACACTGTCCTTACAGTTACAGAGTTTTTTTTTAACCCATTTGTAAAGGATCCGACTGAGTATATCTGTTAAAAGTCTCCCAACTCCCAAGAAAATCATTGATCAGGGCCCTTGGTTACTCAAACATCAGCCCAGACTTGATGAAGGGTACAACAACAACTTTATTATGACACACTCGGCTTTTATGCATAGCCCCATGCAACGGGTCTTCAGTACCAACAGCCAGGGGTTGTATCCCAGGATCCTCTACACCGGGGAGCCAAAGCGCTAGAATGAGGGTTGCTATCCCTTTGTCTCCCAAGTTTAGAAAGCCTACCACTCAGGCAAGGTGTCTCCCACCCGAGACGCCACAGAGTCTTCATCCCTGGAGCCTCTGTGCCTAGGAGCAAAAGCACGGGAAAAGATTGTCTCTTTGTCTCCTAGGCAGAAAAGCCCGCCAAGCTAGCCAGAGCCCCCAAAGTGTCCCCACCAACCTCAGGAGTCCTTACAACAGCACATTCCCTGACCAGTCTCTGTTCGCGAGGTACCTGTGCTGAAACCTGCAAGGGAAGCGTCTCCTTTCGGGATAAGAATGCTCCCCCTGGTTGGCATTTGTAACGGTTCGCCTGGCACCCCGACTGGGTACCTCTGTTGAAGGATGCTCCTTGTGCTTCCTGAGGGCTCAAAGCACTCCAGCCGACACCATAGCCACTGTGGACTCCTTCAGAGAGCAAGAAAGGGACAAGCTCTTAAAAGAGCTTAGAAGTGATTATCCAAGGGAGCATGCAGAGCATAGCAATCCCTTGTAGTGATATAGCAATCCCCCCAATAAGAGACAGGACTCTAGATTGAGGGTGAAGAAGAACTCTGGTTTAATGACACACACTCTGCTTTTATGCAATTCTCACATGCAAGGGAGACGCCCACAGACAATTATACATTAGCCAATCAAACAATGGTTACAACCCACAGATTCCCTCCCCTCTGCTTGGGAGATAATTGAGTTTCTTACTGTATCTACTAAATTATCTCCAAGCTAAAACTTATACTTTTTATGCATTTTTATAACTTTATGATTATTCATCCTACATATATTTTTTATGAACAACACAACTTGGGGACAAACATATTCAAAATTCGTGCAAATCTGTTCAGTGGTTCCAGAGATATTGAAGAGCTGCATGTTTTTGCATGCCCAAAACAGTTCCACAGATTCAGGCTGTGCGGTCGGTCTATTTCTGTTTTGAAAATTAACAAAGTCCCATCCGAAGGCGGCGTTCGAATAGTCGAACGCACTTCGACTTCTGTTGAAGTGTTGAAGTAAAACGGGGTTAAGTTTCCGCAGTGGTCGTTAGTTGAGTGGCAGTCTATTTTACACGAAAAAGATGACAAAGTCCCATTCGAACGTGTGTTCGAATCTTCGAATGGGACTTAGTCTCCAGCTGCAGTGTCGAAGGGTAGGGGAAGGTACAGGTCAGCGGTGTTCATTCAAATGTGTGGCTGATTTCCGTTCCAGGGATTTGACGGCACACATTGCTGACCGCGTTCGACTGCATTAAAATGGCCGCAGCCACCTGTTTGGTTTTCGAATGGCGGCCACTTCGACGACTTCGGCACTTCAACTGCATCCGAAGTGCTGGTTTAAAAGTACAAATCCTTTCTCTGGGAATTAAAGGGCCAGAACAGCAATATAAAGATCAGTTATGCCCAAATCAGTTCCTAGAAGGGCAATACATCCCAGGGCCAAAGTCGCAGGGCAGGAGGCTTGCAAACAGGCGCCTCCAAAAACTAGTGGCGAGGTTACTTTCGCCACAGCGTTCGCCTACACAAAATGGCAGCCACCCAGGGGAGCACTCATTAATCACTTCACTTGCGGTTTCACAATATGTTGTCAGTGCAAACATTGTGGTTTCACACTTATGTTGCAAGTGCGACTGTTCTAATTAATCGGTGAAAACCTTCTAATGGGGCGCCGGGGTGGTCCCCGTTCAGGAGATGAATGGGGTTCCGTTTGTATGAATGCTCATGAACTGGGAGTACAAGGAAAGTGATACAACACTAATGAACAGCGGTTCTTGCCACCGGCACCAAGCAAGTAGTTTCGGTACATTTTGGAGCCGCCTCATGCCTCCAGGGGTCGGCTAGGGCTCGCGTCTCTCTCTAGTGGATATCGCTATGTAGGTAGCACCAGGGAGAGCGCTGTTTGGGCAGACAAACAAGGGGACTTGGACCAGGGGATGGAAGGGATGGTGGATTGTGGGGAAAAGGTAATATAGTCCGTGTTCGTTACACCATTCACTACAAACTCATTTTGTTTTAGTAATATAGCATAACTTTTGTTTAAAAACTATGATGAATTGTAAACATAAAAAAATAAGGCAACATGGCAGTTTCATAGCTATATTGATGTTTTTAACCTAAACATTTTTATTAAGTAAATTTAAACTATTAATATGTGTTGTTTTTTTTATTATATTAGAATGGCATGCCATATCCTTATTTTTGGTGGGATTATCAAAAACATATAAATCGCCTAAATGACGTCATGGCACACATGTCTATTAAGGTACAGGCATGT